TTTGTATAAAACAAAGTTCATATGCTCCGTGGTCCAAAATGTCATTTATTTTGTTACCGGTACATTTTCCTTTCGGCAACGGAAGTGACGTAAATTTAGCAAAAACTGCAATTTTGACAGTTCGGTACCTATTTTTGAAAGCAAATATTATTTTTTTCAAATCTGGTATGAAAGGGTGTGCCTTGTTAAGGAACAGAAATCATCGCGCTCAGTTTTTTAAATTTTTATTTCGTTTTCGGATCATTTCGATTTAAAGGTGAAAAAAGGTGAAAAAATGAACTATTCACAACCCATTCAGGCTTTTCATATTTGAATATATTTTTTCGCAACTTTCATAAACTAGTAGCAATATTCCATACGAAGAGAATGTATGTGAAAATAAGTTTGTAATATGAGCAGTTGCCGAGAAATGGGCAATTTTGCATGAGTCACCTTTGCCTGTAAAAAAGTCAATTATTATTCGATTTTCATAAAAGTGACACCATATGATGCATAATGTCAATTGTAACTAGGTCAAACCAATTTAACATTTTCAATGTCACTTGAAATGACGTAATCTGGGCAAAAATGGTATTTATAGCCTTCAAAACAAATAATTTATTCAAATGAGTCGTATTTGTTAGTTGTTTAATATTTTGATTTTTGATTCCAATCAACTAATAGAATGAACCCATACGATCATATAAATGTCACAAAATGGTTTCTAACTTGTTCAAATTTTCATAAAATTTTCAGTGTGTGATACCTAAAGCCATTTACGATTTCATACAAGTCATTTAAGATTTTCGTTATCACCGGAAGTAACGTCATTTTGACAAAAACTGTATTTTTAGCCTTCAAAACAGATATTTTATTCAAATGAGTCTGATTTGTATTGTTTTTAAAATTATATTTGATTCCAATCAACAAATAGATTGAACCCACACGATCATACAGATACCGTAACTTGTACGGTTGCAGAGAAATAGACGATTTTCTACAAGTCACTTTTCAAGGTTTTTGGTCTATAAAAGTGGCAATTATTATTTGATTTACATAAAACAGATATTTTATTCAAATGAGTCTGATTTGTATTGTTTTTAAAATTATGGTATTTGATTCCAATCAACAAATAGATTGAACCCATACGATCATACAGATACCGTAACTTGTACGGTTGCAGAGAAATAGATGATTTTCTACAAGTCACTTTTCAAGGTTTTTGGTCTATAAAAGTGGCAATTATTATTCGATTTACATAAAATTTTGACCATGTGATGCCTTATGCCATTTCTGATTGATTCTGCGTCCAATTTATTTTAGTGTGTAATGCTTATGTGGAAACCTGTTTAATGGTTTCATTGGTACCGGAAGTGACAAGGGTAACGTAGCACCGGTGAAACCCGTCATTACTGCATCATATTTCTAGTTATTATTATTTACCGCGGACCCTTATTTCTCAGTCCGTGTAAGAGATACTGATCTTGGATCTAATTTTCTATCAGGAAAGCATGTGGTGGTTACTCCATAAACTATTTTTGAAACGTCTGTGCAGACTGGAAGTGGCCGAATTTGGTATGATACTATGATGCCAAAAAGTTAAAAAAAACAGCCGTTTTGTCAATTCTTTACCTATTTTCAAATAAATGACATTTTCGGAAACCCTGAGTCTTTTCTGGGACGATAGCAGTTGAAAATTTCTAAATTTCGAAACATCGTCGTTGACTTCAATGGCTTGAAATGTTCGCCTGTCTACTTGTTGCCGACAGGTGATTTTTTCGTCTGACAGCGACAGGTAGCAAATAAAACTACCTGTCGCTTGCGACGGATGGACTTAATTTTACTTGATGTTCAGTAAATTGACCACAATACTCACGTCACGTACATTTAATTATTTGTTTCTAAATGCAAGAATTAAGCACGGAAATACCGCGAAAAGCAGCCATTTGCTCTGTTTACATTTTGCTCTGTCGTAGGCTACAGTTACTCACACAGTTTGGAAGTAGACAATTTTATATCAATGAATTTCACACCATCTACGCTTGTTTTCATCTGCTTGACACTAGTTTATAGCATTATGGAGTATTATATCTAAATAAATTAAAACGCACCCCCAAGTCACCTGAAAAAATTCTACCGTAACGACACCACAGTAAATATAGTAGTGGTTGGAATGGAAATGCACATGGCTCGTTGCTTGGTGTATTTAATCATTTAAAAAGTTTTAAACAATTTCCATAAATAAAGGCTATGAATAATTTCTAAGACAATTTGACAAAATCAAAAAATCAGGTCGGAAAAATATTTCATATATAAATATAATTTGCAGCGTAAATATAGTCCGGATATGTGAGAAGGGAATCCCAGGTGGCGTTATCTGTCCTTATTCAATTTATTACGGATATTTTAAAATCTGAATTCTACAACTCAACGGTGAAGTATTCGATTTAGTACGGAAATGTGGTACCATGATACTTTGCGGAATTCACGTGGATACGGATGATAGAATTGTACGAATCTTCGAGTCGCTGAGCCAAAGCAGATTCGCTGACTTTCGAGAACTTTTAGGCAATCCGAAGTCGAAGAAATAAAAAGGTTTCATATTACGATATTTATATAGAGCAATGTACGTCAAAGACCTAACCACGTGCTTGTGTACAAACATGTATGGATATGTGTGATGTGATTAGTCTTTGAGTTTGATAATTGAGAGTGACAGGTTATTTACTGAAGCGACAGGTATGAAGAAAAGCTACCTGTCGCTTGCGACAGGTAGCTTTTTTTAAACATTTCGAGGCCTGACTTCTAGCAATCGAAAAATGAAAAAATGGGTGTTTTGGGGAAAAACTCGATTTCTCCGTCCAATATCAATGGATTAAATAAATTAAGATATCCTTGAGCGGCAGAAGGATTGGACTATCGTATGATTCCCAATTCATACAGATACGATGACCAGCTTTGATAATGCACGCTGAAAATCAAGTATTTTCTGATTTGGAGGGGTTTGGGACGCATTTATCTCGAAAACTACGATTGTTTTTTAAACTTCCTCTATCGAGAGTTCCTTCGGAGGTATTGTGCATGAGGCAGTCCAATAAGACTTTGAAATGTCTGGAATAGGTTAAAAAAGGGATTGAAAATCAAAAAATCGTGTAATTTTGGAAAATGCTCTATTTCTTTATCATTTAAACAGATTTTTACAAAAAGGTTACACATTTGCGTAGCTGACCTAATTACGATTCTAACGATGTATAATATGTATTGAGTTATTGAAATTTAATTTTCGATATTTGACATTTTTGCATTTTTGGCACTTTTGAACATAGGATTTCTCAGAAGCATTTTATCTGATCAGATAACGTAATATATCATTACAGAGCTCTGCAGCTATTTAATTGCCCAAACCGGTTATTAAAACTATCCCGACAATAATCTCCATACCGGAAGTATTCAAATAATGAAAAAGAACTAAAGTGTCGTTGGATAGCCCTGTTATGGACTAATTTATATGACATCTGAATGATATGATTTCGATGGTTAGAAAATAAATTATGGTACGCCGAAAATGTAGTATTTTCTGTTTCGGAGCCTTGAAATAATATAAGTGGTCCAAAAAGAGCCTCAATCTTTGAAAAAAGTAGAAAAGACCTTAAATGACTGAAAATGCTCTTCTATTTTTCTTTGTTTTGAAAACAGCTCAATGGATGTTTCTGAAACTTTTGGTACTGGTACAGAAAGTCAAGTATCTAAACAACTTGTTAAAACTATCCCGACAATGATCCAAAAACCGGAAGTAGTCGAAAATATACATTATTACAATAATGTAATTTGAGCCGACCTCGTGACCGAGGTGGTCTTGCGAGATTTCACTCGGAGCGTACTTGCCAGTGACCACACGTGAACAATAGCTGGAGATTTTAATTGTAGTTTAGTTCTGTTGGGAAGTGTTGTTAAGCCAATTATTGTGATAAGTTAAGTATACTTGGTATTTCTGTCAATTGTATTGACGTATTGCGTACGTGAATTTTTTGTGTCGGCCAGTATCGACATTAGATTAAGTAAATTAAATGACATATTGAAGTACGTTTTGTCAATTTGTTATCAGGTTATTTACATTAATAAATGACATTTTCATCCATTCGACCATGAGTTTGTTTATTTAAGGGGAGGGAGCTCAGGCACAAAAATATCTGATATTTTGAAACCCCCCCAAAAAACGTAAAAAGTAAAAAAAATGGTGATCTTGCGAAAAAAGTGATTACTACGTCAGATATCACCGAATGAGAACATCTAAAGTGACATTGGATATCCCGAACAATGGACGGTCTTGTGACATCCAAATGGTAAAAATTTGTTGTTTATGCAATATATTGCAGGACGCTGAAAATCTAGCATTTTCTTTTTTGGAGCCTATTCAAATTACTCTTATTTCATTTCTTCAACTTCTGTTACTTAGAGCCTTGACATGGTCTAGAGTGTGAATCCAAATTTAAAAGTCTCAATATAGTATAAATGGTCCAAAAAGCGCGACAATCTTTGAAAAAAGTTGAAAAATCATTATATTTCTAAATATGGTTCTAATGGTATAACGGAGGTAACTAGTCCTTAGATGGAGTCCGACTACCAATCATTTGCTAAAATCCATTATTTTGAAAAAAATGTCCCAAAAAAAAAGAATGAAGATTTTTGCCAAAAACGTGATTTCTCCGTTGGATATTACCAAATCAAAAGAGCTAAAGTATCGTGCGATAGCCCAGGGAATGGACTTTCGTGTGCTTTCTTCGGGTCTGTTGCCTGAAAGCCGATTCAGTCCTGCCATGCAGGTCTAGTTGTTATTATTATTATAACCATTGTATTCAATGTAACTGGGTAGAACAATCATTAAATCAGATATGCCCACTATACTATAAGTAACACCTTTTCTGCCCCAAATATTATACAGCTCATTCTTAGGGAGCCGAAAATATTGAAACTAAAGAGGTTTGACTGTACAGTGTTATCCCATGTACAAATATTTTCAGCCCAACCGCATGGTGTTCGGCTTGTTCCAACGAGTTTAGGACAGGGGCAGGATTATTTTGATGAAATGTTTAAAGATCTGGCTCAGGATACACTGCAACCAAAACTACAACCTACGACATGTCCTTTAGACCGCACCTTACCTTCAACATATCATGATTATACTGTAGCTACAGCAAGGTGAGTATTGTCTTATTACCGGTAATAAAAACCTTTTAGATATGTTTCAGAAATGCAACTATTTCTTCTATTTGAAATGGCAGGTATACAGTAAAAATATGTAAATACACTGTAGATAAGACCGATTTCTTTTCAGTCATGTTCTCTGTTTACCTTGCTATTGCTGGTCGACACTGATTATAGTAGTGACAATTAACTTGCAGTATTTGGAAAAAAGCCATTGTGGTATGAGATATGCATGTCAATAAATTTTTAAAAGACAAAAAAAGATTGCTAACAGACGTTTATTTTGCATTAGAAAAATAATCTTCTGAGGCATCCATTCAAATGTCCCATTTTGAACCTTAATTAAGTTAAAAGACAGGCATACAATGGACTTTAATTTTTTATTTTGTCTATGATATTTTATACACTTCTAATATATCACTGTTACGCTGTAATGTTGGTTGAGGTCGAATTGCGTGAAAATCGTACCGAAACTGCTGGACAAAATGGCCGCTCCTCGTACGCAAATATACTAAGCAGCAAAAGAAATGTCAACAAGATGGCGGCATAAGACGGGTTAGTGTGGAAGAGCTCTGAGATCTCAACTAAAATACGATGAAGTATACATCGGAGAACTATATCAGAAGTTCAGGTTGGAGTCACATATATTAGGTTTACTTGATAAATTCATAAAAATCAAAGAAACATTATAATAAACAATTAATAGTACAGTATTCAGCAGGGTGAGCATTTGTTTACATAGTCATCAGTGAACCGTGTTAACGACATAAACACCTGTTTTGTTCAACTGCTTTTAGTAATACAGTAGATCAGCATGTCATCTAAAGCAAGTGATAAAATATACTATTCAAAAAAAGTAGGGGATATTTGATTTTTAAGTGTTATTAAAGTCACCTAATGAAACTGACGAAGAAACAAATGACAAAATGAAATGAAGTTCACATTCATCGATTTATTCCAAATGATCGTTAGACTTAGTAAGGCACAGACTGACCATTATAAGGGTAAAATGATACCCGGGGTCAAACAGCAAAGTTACCACAGCATCACAACCAAGTCAGTAACGGGTAAATCCTCCCCTGTTTGCCAAACAAGCATTGATCCGACGTGGCATACTCCTAATGAGACGTCTAAGGTCATTTTGGTCCAGATTGTCCCATTCCTGTTGCAACGCAGCAGCAAGTTCTTGGACATTGGCAGGACGTTGTTGACGTTGACGTAACCTCTGTCCAAGCATGTCCCAGACATGCTCGATGGGGGAGAGGTCGAGACTCAGTGCTGGCCAAGGTAATGTGGTGATGTTCTGTTGTTGGAGGTAACCTGTAACGATCCTGGCCCTGTGACATCTTGCGTTGTCATCCTGGAAGATGAAACGGCGGCCATGACGTCGTGCGAACGGCACAACATGGACTGCCAAGATGTTGTCCCGGTAGTATTGGCCTGTAACACGCCCTGCAACAACATGTAAAGCCGTTCTTCCAGCAACAGTGATGCCTCCCCACACCATAACAGAACCACCCCCAAATCGATCATGTCTGATGACGTTAACGTCTTGGAAGCGCTCGTTTCGACGACACCACACCCTCCTACGTCTGTCCAAAAAATCAACAGTGAACCTTGACTCATCTGAAAACATCACATTGCTCCAGCGTCGATTATCCCAGTGTTGACGATCCCTACACCAACGACGTCTTGCCTGAATGTGATGATCTCTCAAACAAGGGATCACGCGAGGACGTCGGGCGCGAAGGTGACCCCTATGCAGTCGATTCCGAATCGTCTGGCCACTCACTCTCACACCAGTGTCTGTTTGAAGACGAGCGCTGATCTGATTTGCTGTGATGACACGATTTCTCAAGGCCAAGGTACGGATAAATCGATCCTGGGCTTGAGTTGTCGCCCTTGGTCGACCTGAGCGTGGTCTGTCCTGTACAGATTGTGTATCACGGTATCTGGACCATAGCCTGCTTATGACAGACTGAGAAACATTCATCGTCCGCGCCACAACCGCCTGTGTTGTGCCGATCTGTAGCATGCCAAGGGCACGTAACCTTTCATTTTGGGTAAACCGACGCATATCAAAATTTGTTTTCTGGTCACTAAAACAATTAAACTGATGTTTCCACCCTGGAATTCAATGCCACAATGACTGTAACATTCAAAGTCAGAGTCGTGCAAATCTTGGGTTGGACCCCCATGATGATCCCAAGCATCACCTGCATTCCATGCGGTAGCTATTGGTGCGTTTGGGCGTCACATGTAACTGGAAATGTTTCTTCTGTTAGGTTCTATAGTGACTTTTTTCGTAGTCATTTGCATATTTTAGTATTATGCCCCCAAAATCAAATATCCCCTACTTTTTTTGAATAGTATAGAAAACCCGAAAGGCCCGCTAACAAGAAGTTCCACATCTCAGTCAAAAGCAGATTTTGATAGAAATGAGGGTGCGATAGATATAGCCTGTGTCCTCGAAGCTTTAGAACAATTAAAAACAGAAGTAAAGAATATAGATAAGTAAAGATGATATGAAGAAATTAATGAATGTTATCAGTGAGTGTGTAGTAGTCACAATCAGAAAAGTAGTTGATAAGGATATTAAGATACTAAACGAAAAGATAGTGACACTACAAGAAATTTATGAAGCGGTACTATATTTGTTCTACTCAATGAAATATAGTATAGCCTTCAACATTAAACCCACGCTATCTGCATGATGTTACATACTGTGATTGTTGTTTATGTATGATTTACATTGTCACTTTGTAAAGTGCCCCTGAACATGTTATATGAAAGGGTGCACTATAAATATGCTGTAATAATAATGATGATAATATGTGAACTAGGTTGGTATGTTACTCTGAATAGACACATTGCATAAAACTTTCCAAATATTTTTATTGTATATTTGTGACCACATCTCCAACTTTACCTGAGTAATAAGGCTCCTTCCCAAACACAGAATTGAACCCTGGAAATGTTCTCAAAAACACAACCTGACTTCTGAGATGATAATGTGTTCTTCATGATTTTCATGTAACTCATGCTGCACGTGCTGTACACCGTAACCAGGCCTATAAAATGCACCCCCATACCTGGTTGAGTCATTCACACTATAACGTCAGCAGCATGTCACGACTCACGCAACTCAGAGGAACCAGGCGCTTGGAAGACTCGACGCTGGCCACACTGCCCAATCCATTGATAATCACTTCCAGGTCAATGTACGGACCATCTACGGGCTTCAGCAACACTTTCAGGCTACCAACACCACGGATGACCGGCCCCGAACTGGTAGACCAAGGGTTACCACAAGGCAACAAGACCGCCATGATGTGCGATGTCAGCATGTGCAGAATCCCTTCACACAGCCATCTGAGACAGCACGTCAGACAGTGGGAACACACGGAAGACCCATCAGTACACATACAGTGCGCCGACGTCTCACCAGAGAGAACATCCATTGCCGTAGACCTTACCGTGGACCGATCCTCACCCCCTCACCACCGACGTGAATGTCTACAGTTTGCCCAACAACACTAGAACTAGCGACACAGGCAATAGAGAACTGTTCTGTTCACAGATGAGTCGGTATTGCGTATCAACTGCAGATGGCAGGACCAGAATATGGCGTCAACGTGGCCAGTGTTATTCTGACCAATGTGTCATGGAACAAGACTCACGGGGAGGTCCAAGCATAATGGTTTGGGGTGGAATCGGCCTGAACTAGGAAGTGGATCCAGTGGTGTTCCAAAATCTTGGTCCGGGGAGAGGAGGCGGCATAACAGCAGTGCGCTACATCGATCAAGCTCTTGGAACCGACATCATACCACATTTTGCATGTCATCGAAACGTTTTCCAGCATGACAACGCCTGTGACCACACCGCCAGAATTACTCGGGACTTTCTACAGCAGAATGGTGTCAACGTTATGCACTGACCAGCCCTTAGTCCGGACTTAAACCCGATTGCACATCTTTGGGATGAAATTCAGAGGAGACCTAATAGCATCGTACCGAGATCAAACACAGCCGATGGGTTGCGCCAGGCTTTTCTGAGATTGCCTTTTACAAAATGCGATTTTTGAACACTAAAGATGTTCTTTTCATGAAAATTAAACTTTTAATCAATGAAAGAGGTACTTATGTGGCTTTTAATGAGGAAATGTGAATTTTGAAAATTTTGACCTACTGAACAAGACGATTGATGAACGCCATTGGCACCTGGAACCACACTCTCAGAATGATTTGATTAAAGTGCCTCTCTGATTTTGAAATCGTACTGACAGGTTTTTTTGCAGTTTAGTATCCAAAAAATTGGACCAAAACTGCCGGACAAAATGGCCACCCCTCATATGCAAATAGTGTAAAAATATTTTATATCAAGGTTGTGGACCCTCTAGAGGCCACAATTTTTATATGATTTTGATGAAACTTTAAATTTATGTTTATATTACATAGACCATAGTTCCTTTTGATAATCGTACATATTCAAACGTAACTTCCTGGATTATGGCCCCTAATTGTTCTTAAATCGTATTTTTAGCTTGTGGATTCAAGTTTATCATTTCGTATTTTACCTTCACCTGCGTAATGGAAAAACCCTGTAAGCTTACTCGTGTAGACTTAACCCTGAAAGCGAAAGTAGATCTTATCAAAAAAAAGTGAGGGTAGAAGCCAAAGACAATTGGTTGAAGAATTTGGCATTGGTAAGACCCAAGTACAGACAATTTTGGAAAGAAAGGCAGAAATTCTTGATGGATACAAAGAAAATAGAAACGGCAACAGAAAACGTCATTGATGTGGGCGTGTTTTCAGCCTGTGCATGGTAAAGATGTGTTGATCTCTGGTCCAATGCTTCGTGAAAAAGTTTTGCTATTACCTAAAGAACTAAACATTCCAGAATCTGATTTTAAAGCATCAGATGGTTGGCTCTGCAGATTTAGACAAAGACACAACATTTCATTTTTGAAGATGAGGATGTTGTGAAAGAATGGACTGATAGGTTGCCTGACATTGTCCTTGGTTATGAGGTCCGGGATATCTGATATCTGTTATCAGTAATAAAGTACATGTCTATATAATTTACCTAACACCGTGTCTGGTTTTCTTTTAGATTGCCTTAAGCATGCTCACTCAGTAGTGAGACCACCCCACTATTAAGACCACATCTAGACAGTCATACAGGTGATCTTAATGGAGGGATTTCACTGTATGTATAAAATAATACCTGTATGTAATACATTATAAGAGAGATTAGTGGATATATCTTACTGATATTATCTGTATTAAGAGATTATTAAACATATTACATTGTATAGTTAGTAAACGGTTTAGAGAGTTTACACCTAGAAACCAGTTCATATTTAAACATAGTCAGACTGACTCCAAGTTGACTTCTGCTATTGTGGACAAATGTTTTCTTATCAATTTGATGATATAGAAATCTTGGGATTCCATAAGTGAAATTTTTAAGAAGCTAAACAGAATTCTTATCTTGACCTTCAGTCCTAAAAACATAATGGTGTTTACTTTCAGTTCTACAGGAAATATAAAGATATTGGAAGTACATCAAGATGGCAAGTTTATCCGTCTGGTAAATGAAGGTCCAAAGGTTAGTACTATTTTGAACTCATTAATGAAAGATAAAACGGTTTATCCTAGTCTTTTGCTACTATTGGAAACCCTGATATTTTTTCCATGGAAGAACAGGCCTTCACATAAAGGGAGCGCTCTCACTCTACTCTCCTGGACGCTCCTGGATGTCAGTCAAGGTGCGCTTTCATGTGGACGTATATTGTCATCGCCCCTGTCCGTCTGTCCAAAATTTGTTTGTGGACACTTTACAGGTCACAATTTTTATCCGATTTTGACGAAACTTGAAATATAGATCTATCTCCCAAAGATCACGTTTTTTGGCTGCCTGTGGACAGTCTAGAGGTCACAATTTTTGATCCGATTTTGATGAAACTTGAAATGCATGTTTATAAATCAAATATCTTGTTTATTTTCGATATTCGCGCATATCAGATCGTAACTTCCTGAATTATGGCCCCTGATTGTACGAAAAATCGTGTTGTTAGCTTGTTTTTCCTCTAGAGGTCACTATTTTTATCTGATTTAAAAAAAACGTTGAAGTATATCACCGTTACACCCTAATGATAGTTGAGTTCGAATTTCGTAAAAATTGGACCAAAACTGCTGGACAAAATGGCTACCCCTTGTATGCAAATAGTAGGTGGAAAAGGTGATTTTGAGATTATGACTAGCAACTCCAAACTACATAGGTTTTCTCAAAAATTCTATTTCATCAAAGTGATTTTGGTCAATTTTTTCATCAAAAATAGTCTTGTCCATGTGGGCAATTCCAGCGTTACTCACGTTACATTTAAAGAACTCCATCCATATTGAGATTAAGACTACAAACAACAATCTACATTGATATGTTAAATATTGTGTATGGGCATCCATCAATGATGGAAGGAAATAATAAGATAGAATGTAAACAAAAATTAAATAATTTTTGGGGTGAAGTCTGAAAAACATGGTGTTATTCACGTTACATGAAATGTACACCAAAATTTTGATGTTTTGTTAGCACATAAATATTACTTTCAAGTCTAATCTCTTATTTATATTAAGTATTTATTGCAATAGGTATGGATATTATTAAGTTATTTCTTTGCAATAAAGTATAAATATATGAAAAGGATCTGATTTTTTTAATGAAGCGTGTAGAAAATGTTGTTACTCACGTTACATTCATATTGTAAAATCAAAACTAAAGAATACTTATAAATAAAACTTTATAAGTGATGACATGTTTCAGGATAAGTTCAAATAAATCCAACCACAGATAATACTAATTATTAGTAGTACTTAAGTCACTTATTCAACCAATTGTTGGTAGGTTTACTAAACAGTGCAAAGTTATCTAAAATCTTCGACAAATAAGCTTACAAAAATTTTAATTTCAATTTTTAAAGGGACTATCCCTTATTTGAACAGACTCTAAAAAATAAAAGACTGAGTATGTATGAAATTTAAACGCTAAAATATAGAGGAATGGTGTATTGACCGTATCTCAAAATTTCAGCTCAAAATATTGAGTCATTTGGACGTGACCGTCAAAACTGCTTATCTGGACACGTAACCCTTTTAAGATTTCGGGTCAATTTTTTCGTTGGAGACCTGATAATTGATTCCCGTTCATTGAGAGGTCTATAGTGAATGACCCAAATGCTGTACTTAATACCGAAAGGCAAATTTCACCTACACATTATTTTTATACAAAAAATGTCTGGTTTTATCTAGACACCGCATAATACAGCTTGGGACACTGGTCTCCATTACCAGATGAAGACTGACGGGTTTCAGTTATTTGAAAACTTATCACAAATATTGAGTTAGTTGCTCGAACCATAGGTAGAGGATTTTAAGGGATTTTAAAACAAAATTAAACAGTTTTATTCTCCAAAAAATTATCGGGATTAGCACTTTAAAGTATATGTTCAAGTTCATTTAGAATAATAATAATACAGTGTCCACCACGTGACTTTCCATACAATGAGGGGCCATAATTTGGGAAGTTACGATCCGATATAGTGTGTAACAGTGATATATTCAAACTGTTTTTTATATGGGATAAAAATTCTTAACTGTAGAGGAACTCGATTTTTCATACAATCAAGGGCTCTAATTCAGGAAGTTACAACCCGATATGTGCGAATATCGAAAGGAACCAAGATCTTTGAGTTATAAATATGCGTTTCAAATTTCATCAAAATCAGATGAAAATTGTGACCTCTAGAGTGTGCATAAGCTAAAAACTTGATTTTTCATACAATCAGAGGTCATGATTCGGGAAGTTACAATCCGATATGTGCGAATATCAAAAGGAACCAAGATCTTAGGGTTATAAACATGCATTTCAAGTTTCATCAAAATCAGATGAAAATTGTGACCTCTAGAGTGTCCACAAGCTAAAAACGTGATTTTTCATACAATCAGCGGCCATAATTCGGGAAGTTACAATCCGATATGCGCGAATATCAAAAGGAACTAAGATCTTTGGGTTATAAACATGCAGCTCAAGTTTCATCAAATCAGATGAAAATTGTTACCTGTAGAGTGGAGATGACCTATATTTCAAGTTTCGTTAAAATTGGATAAAAACTGTGACCTGTAGAGTGTCCAGGGACCATGGTATAATACGTCCACATGAAAATGTGGGCGTATAAAAATAATTGTAGCTGAAATATATAGAGGTAATGTGTGTTAATCACATACATCACATATTGTGTTACTCACGTTACATAAATGATTCTGTTATTCAGGTTACAAATTTGTAGGTGCCATTATATGGAGAATAAATGACATTTTATATTGAATCAATTTATTTTTAGTACATGGTCAATAGTAGATATTCTATAGAAAATATGGCTGAGGTAACCATAAAAAAAATTCAACCATCATTGTTTTTCCATTTTTTGTGTTACTCACGTTACGAGTGCCATGTACTTCGTATTATATACTATAAAACTGACTCAGTTGAATATCAACATTTGTTGTTATTATTTTGAATAAGGAGATGATTTATATTTTCTAATTTCAGAAAAAAATTATTTAAAGTAGCTAAGTCTCTAACTCAATATCATCCAAAATCTTCAACATTGAAAAAACAAATTATTTGTCAATTTAAATCAACATTGATGCTGTGATCTTACCGGAAAAAGATAGGCTTCTGATTTCCAATATTTAAGACAAAATAAACATTTTACCATTGGTATACGAATCGTGTACCATAATGCGTTTCAGCCCCAGTTCTAGCAAGAGACTCGAGGAACGAGGCTAGACATATTGCACCAAACCAAACGGCGTATGTAGACTGGAATAACCAGGCGCGAGAAATTTGCATTCAATTGAGACTGCTGGCTTATTTCGCTGAACATAACTGATTTGAAATAAGAGTAAAATCAGAAACCATTGAATGTATATCAGTTTATATACATTCATATTACAGTATTATACGAGTTGCGACCCACTTGTGTCAATTTCTAGGTCCCAAATGTTAGTGATTTAGCTCCTTTAAATTAGTAATTAGGAACTTTTAAATCAAAAACATTATATAGCTACACATACATCAGTTAATGATATTACTATATATGTCAAGGTAAATGATAATGGTGCTATATAAAAAGTTCACTAGAATTTTTATACGCCCACATTTTCATGTGGACGTATATTGTCGTCGCCCCTGTCCGTCCGTCCACAATTGTTTGTGGACACTCTACAGGTCACAATTCATATCCGATTTTGACGAAACTTGAAATATAGGTTTATCTCCAAAAGATCTCGGCTGCTTTCGATATTGGCATGTATCGGATCGAAACTTCATGGATTATGGCCCCTGTTTGTACGAAAAATCACGTTTTTAGCTTGTGGACCCCATAGAGGTCACAATTTTTATCCGATTCAAAAAACCGTATTATTATATTACCGTTACACCCTAAGGACGACTGAGTTTGTATTTCCTGAAAATCGGCCCAAAATTGACAGACAAAATGTCCGCCGTTCGTTCTCAAATAGCGTAAAAATATGGTATATCAAGGTTGTGGACCCTATAGAGGTCACAATTTTTATCTGATTTTGTTGAAACTTGAAATGTAAGTTTATAACCCAAAGATTTCGGTTCCTTTCGATATTTGCGCATATCGAATTATAATTTCCTGAATTATGGCCCTTGATTGTAGGAAAAAATACTTTCTTTTTAGCTTGTTCTCTTATCCATCTCTCCAAAATGTGGGCGTATTCTGCCTGGCAGCCGCTGGTTATCCGATTTTGTTGAAACTTGAAATGTAATTTTATAACCCAAAGATCTCGGTTCCTTTAGATATTCGCGCATATCGGACTGTAACGTCCCGAATTATGGCCCCTGATTGTACGAAAAATCACGTTTTTTGCTTGTGGACCCTGTAGAGGTCATAATTTTTATCCGATTTAAAAAAACGTATTATTATATCACCGTTACACCATAAGGACGGCTGAGTTCGAATTTCGTGAAAATCGGCCCAAAACTGACAGACAAAATGGCCGCCCTTCGTTCTCAAATAGCGTAAAAATAAGGTATATCAAGGTTGTGGATCCTATGGAGGTCACAATTTTTATCCGATTTTTTTGAAACTTGAAATGTAAGTTTATAACACAAAGATCTTGGTTCCTTTCGATATTTGCGCATATCGAATTGTAATTTCCTGAATTATGGCCCTTGATTGTAGGAAAAATCACTTTCTTTTTAGCTTGTTCTCTATCCATCTCTCGAAAATGTGGGCGTATCCTGCCTGGCAGCCGCTGGTTTACTAACCATGTCCACATTTGCATGGAATTGCCCGTGTTATATCTGAAATATTTAACCTGGTTGTTATGCATTTTAAAATCAGTAGCTATCAAGTAAGATTAACCGAAAAAAAAAAAGGTAAAAATTTCTATATGCCTTCTCTTAAGAGCTGAATATATATGTTCATTTTTGAACAATTTTCTGTGGCACACATTTGCCTATTTTTGGGGCGTTTTTGGGACATTAATAAAATATGAAGGAATGGACATATTGCCAGT